CTTGTTGGATTAATATTATTGTTGCTTGAGAAAGAATAATAATTGCTTTAGAGAAATTGCTGTCAGTATAGGATTGAATGTTAATTTTCTTGAATTATGAGAATTTGAACATGATTAATTTGGTGAAATCGGAAACCCTAGAATCTTAATCTATTGAATTTTCATCCATTGCTTAGCATTGTTTAATTTATTTAATTATTTTAGTTTTACTTACTTAATTTTATAAACTCTCTTTTCAAGTATTCAAATAAAATTAGGGTTAATATAATTTCGGTAATTAGTAAACAACAATTCTCGTGGGACGATATTCTTATTCACTATTATATTACTTGATTGCGATAGCGTATACTTGCGTTACGATTTTTCACAACAAGTTTTTGGCACCGTTGCCAGGGATTGTTTTGTTTTTACTAATATCGATACCAAATAACTCTAGTTTTACTTTGGATTTTATTTTGTTATTTATTTTATTGTTCTTGTTTTGTGTTCTACAGGAATTTACTCTACGTGCATGCGAAAGCTAGGGAGCAACAGTCTACTACCTCTGGATTTAGAAATTGAGCGTACCTGTCGAAGAAACTGAAGAGAGAAGAGAGAAGCTGCCATTCAGTTACCAGAAGTGATGGCTGATCCTGAAGAAGAAATAAATGGGAATAATCAACCATTGAACAATCCACCGGTGGTCAATCAGCCAATGGCTTTGCGAGATTATATATTGCCACCAACCGGTGTTCAACTAGTGATCAGGAAGCCTGTTATTCAAGCGAATAATTTTGAATTGAAGTCGGTGATGTTGCAGATGATTCAAGCGATCCAATTTAATAGATTGCCGAATGAAGATCCTAATGCCCACATTGCAAATTTTCTGGAGATTTGCGATACTGTCAAATACAATGGAGTTAATGATGAAGCTCTTCACCTTCGTTTGTTTCCTTTCTCTTTGAGAGATAAAGCAAAAAGTTGGTTGAACTCACTGCCGCCAAATTCGATCACTAGTTGGGAAGACTTAGTTCAGAAGTTCCTTTCTAAGTTTTTCCCACCGGCTAAAACAGCGAATATGCGCATCGAGATCAACAATTTTGCTCAATATGAAGGTGAAACTCTATATGAAGCATGGGAGAGATACAAGGAGTTACTGAGAAGATGTCCTCATCATGGTCTACCTAAATGGATGCAAGTCCATAATTTCTATAATGAGTTGAGTGGTACTACAAGAACTCTAATTGATGCATCTGCAGGAGGAGCTTTAATGAAGAAAACCGAAGATGAAGCATATGAGTTGCTAGAAGATATGGCAACCAATAATTACCAGTGGCCTAGCGAAAGAAGCATACGAAAAAAGATAGCCGGAGTACATGAGATAGATGCCATCACTAAACTCACGGCCCAAATTGCTTCTCTTTCCAAATAATTACAAAATAATCATCTGACAGCCAATGCCATCCAAGCATCATCTCTAGTTTGTGAATTTTGTAATGGGCCTCATCAAGGTTCTGAATGTCAAGCTGACAACCCTTTTGCACAGGTATAAATGGAGCAGGCTCAATATGTGAGAAATTTTAATAGGCAACAGAACAATCCTTACTCCAACAGGTTTAATCAAGGATGGCGTAATCACCCAAACTTGTCATGGAGAAACACTCAAAATGTGTTGCAGCCTGAACAGAGCAACCCACCACAAGAGGAGAGGGTGAATCTGGAAGATGCAATGTCACAATTGGCTACCTCTTACACGCAATTTATGAATGAAACTAGGATAAATTTCCAGAATCAGTCGTCTCAGATCAGAAGCTTGGAGGTACAAATTGATCAATTGGCTAGCATGTTAAATGATCGTCAACAAGGTAATTTGCCAAGTACAACTGTGGTGAATCCAATAGAGCAATGTAAGGCCATTACTTTGAGAAGCGGGAAAGAATTAAATACACTCCCCGAGCCTAAGAAGTCTAGCAAACGTAGTGAAGAGGCTTCGTCACCCAAATATACTCAATCTTTGGAGAATAGTGGTGAAATTCCTACAGCTCAACACCCTTTGCCGGTGGAGCCATCACGAAGGATCCCATTTCCTCAACGCCTTCGGAAGAGTAAGCTTGATAAACAATTTTCAAAGTTTCTGGACATCTTTAAGAAATTGCACATAAACATCCCATTCGCCGAAGCTCTTGAACAACTGCCGAGCTATGTGAAGTTTATGAAAGATATCCTGTCAAACAAGAGGAAACTTGAGGATTATGAAATAGTTGCACTTACTGAAGAGTGCAGTGCCATCTTGCAAAGGAAGTTGCCTCAGAAGCTCAAAGATCTAGGGAGTTTTACCATCCCTTGTTCTATTGGAAATTCTATTTTTGAAAAGGCACTATGCGATTTAGGTGCAAGCATTAACTTAATGCCTTTGTCAATTTTCAAGAAACTTAGGCTTAGAGAAGCAAGACCAACTACGGTCTCATTACAATTGGCCGATCACTCCATCAAACACCCGAGAGGAATTATTGAAGATGTACTCGTCAAGGTTGATAAGTTTATATTTTTGGCCGATTTTATTGTCTTGGATATAGAAGAAGACGAGAAAATCCCTATTATACTTGGGAGACCATTTTTGGCAACCGGTCGGGCTCTCATTGATGTGCAAAAGGGTGAACTTTGCCTAAGAGTATAAGAGGAGGAGGTGATTTTTAATGTATTTAATGCTCCCAAATACCCGCAAGCGAGTGATAGTTGTTTTCGAATTGAAACAATTAACACCTTGATCACTGAGCATCTTGGCCAACCTCAAGAGCCTTTGGAAGCTTGTCTAATTTATCCAGAAACTATTGCAATAGAAGATCATGAAGCTATGGAGTTTGTGCACTGGATGGATTCTTTCAGATCTAACAATCGGAGGTACTTTGAAGTTTTGGGACGAGGCCCATCATGCCCTCTTCCATCAATTGAGAAACCACAGACGCTTATTGAGATGGATGAGTTCCGTAATGATGCATATGAGAAAGTCAAGATTTACAAGGAGCGAACTAAGGCTTGGCATGACAAGCACATCTTAAGAAAAGAGTTCAGGTTGGGCCAACAAGTATTGCTTTATAATTTAAGGCTGTGCTTATTCCCGGGAAAGCTCAAGTCCAGATGGTCAGGGCCATTCACCGTGGTGAGAGTATTTCCCTATGGAGCAGTTGAAGTCACTCATGATGCAAAGGGAACATTCAAAGTCAACGGGCAACGTTTGAAGCCATATATTAATGGTGGCTTTGATCAAAAGAAGACCACCATTCTCCTAAACTCACCATAAGAAGCAAGACGTCGGGCTGATGACGTTAAACCAAGCGCTTCTCGGGAGGCAACCCGAGCCTTCTAAAATCTTTTATTTATTTTTATTATTATTTTTATTATTTTTATTTTATTTTTAGTTTACTTATTGTGTTTTAAATTGATTGATAGGTTAATAAACAAGTTTAGGGGTTGCTCTAAGGATTTGCAATTGAAATGAAGCTCAAGCAGGCATGAAAGTACGAATTTGGCAGCAGCAATAGCGTTTAGGCGCTCATCTGAGTGCTTTGGCGCTCAAAATAGAGCCTTTGGGGCAAAAGTGGCAGAGCATATAGCGCTTTGGCGCTACCATGGAGCGCCTTGGCGCTGCCTCCAGAAAAAAAAAAAAAAAAAAAAAAAACCTTGCGACTTCCGCATCTCCTCTTGCACCCACTGAAGACACTGACTGACAACTACTCAGGGAAGTCCTCTACACTGTTGTTTTACTTTTCCATTGAGGACAATGTTAGTTTTAAGTTTGAGGGAGTTAACTATCTTATTTTATGTTATTTTATTCAAAAAAAAAAAACTTGAGCTTTGGTTCGGCTTGTTTCACCTCGGCCGATGATGAGACAACGATTGAACTTAACTATGGCTTCAATGAAACAATGAATAATTTGATTGTTTGTGTGCTTGACTTGTTTGTTGGTTTTGCTCTACTTATGATTTACTTGCATTGTTGAGCACATAAGTAAGAACACTTGGCCATTTTGTGAACTTAGAGAAAGTTTATGTGAATTTCGTGTTTCTTAAGATCTCACCGGACTCTAGAACTTGTTTGATTATCACTCGAGGCGAAATCCCATGCAATTTATTACTAAGGAAATGATTTAGGCCATTTTTAGATCGTTTGAGCCATTTGATCTTACCCTGTTATAATAATATCCCTAGTCACCTCTTTGAGCCTGATTAAACTTTTCTTTGTCATCCACATTATAAGCTTAGCCTTTAAATAAATCCTATCATTCACCCATTCCCTTGAGCTTGTTGATTATTCTAGGATGCACGTTGAGTTGTGTTTGGAATTGGGAGGTGTATTGATATTTTCTATAATTTGTTTGATGTCTCCAATGAAATTATGTACTTATCATATTATTCCAAAAAAAAAAAAAAAACGAAAAAAAAGAAAAAAAATGAAGAAAAAAAGAGAGAAAAAAAATAAAGAGTGGAGACAAGAATGTTGATGGCAAATGGCAGACATATTGGGATACTGAGTTAGAAGTTCTACAAGAGGATCCTAGAGTAATTGATGAGTTTAGGGAATTCAGAGCCTCATTGATATCTGTTTATCCTACCTTAATCCCATTTGTTGAACATGGTTTCATAAGCGTCCTGGATTGTCTCTTCAGTAAGTTCTTCACTATCATTGGAACTGTCAGAATCTAAAAAACTCCATCTTCTTTGTTGTTCACAGAATCTGCTGTAGGAAGTGTTGTAACACTGTCTGCAACACATTTTGTGACAATGTTGGCATAACAATCCTGATCAGTATAAACATTAAAAGCAACATAATTGCTCACATGGTCGTCATCTTCCTAACTACCTTCTGACTCTTCATCACTCCAAGTTACATTAAGCGACTTATTCTTCTTCTTGCTAGTGTTAGCAGACTCGGATTGAATGTGGTCGTAACCATCGCACTCTCGGCATTGAATTCCCTTATTCTTCTTCTTAACATTAGAGGCATTTGCAGCTCCCTTATTTTTCTGAAAATTGTTGGAGTTGTCGAAAATTGGAGTTTTGCTCTTTCCGTTGAATTTCTTCATCACCCTATTGAAATGCTTAGTTAAACGAGAAAGAGACGGATAGGTGGAAGTCTATGATTTGGAAGGTTTTGGACAAATTTCGGTGGAAAAAGACAGCAATCATAGCGTTTAGGCGCCAATTTGTAGCGCCTTGGCGCTGAGTTTTACGGAATCAGCGTATTGGGCAGAACTGGTGGCGCTTTGGCGTCAGCTTGTAGCGCCACGGTGCTGAAATCCGGCAGAAATTGTGCACTGGGCAGAATGGGCAGCGCTTAGGCGCCCATTACAGCGCCGCAGCGCCCAGGGGTTTTACACAACAGCGCTAGAAACTCAACGCCGCAGCGCTACGACGCGAGAAATTACGCATTTTGAAGGCCAATCGCGAGTAAACTTACCCGTTTTGACCATAATGCTCTGAAACATATAAATAGATGATTCTAGGGCAATTAGATGGGACTTTTAGACTGTGGAATGACGGCTGGCTTTTGAGAGAGTATTCAAGAGAAGAAAAGGAGAATTGGGACGGAGAAGAAGAACGGCTCAAATCCGGAGACGGAGACGCTTCAATTCAACTCCAAACTAGTTCTTTTCTTTCCTTTCCAATGATTAAGACTTTGTTTAGGAATTTATTTTGTTTAGAGATGAACTAATTCCTTTTTCTAGGGCTACGATGTAGCCGGATTATGAATGTTCGAATTCTCAATCTTATTTTTAAGTAATTGATGTTTAATCCATATATGCTGAGTATTTCAATTTATTCTTAATGCTTGTGATTGTTTGGCCAA